TATTTTTAGTAGAGACGGGGTCTCCATCTTGCTCAGGCTGGTTTCGAACTCCTGAGCTCAAACAATCCGCCCGCCTCAGCCTCCCAGAGAGCTAGGATTTCAGGCGTGAGTCACCGCTCCCGGCCCAAATACAAACTCTTATTCACACCATACACAAAAACATATTTCTGATGGATTAACTTATTAAGCTTAAAAAACAAAAGTATAGAAATATTAGTAGAAAATATAGAAGAAATTTATGTAACCCTGGAGTGGGACTGAACTTTCTAAAAATTGCACCAGGTCCAGTGACCACGGAGGAAAGGACAGACCCATTCGATAGAAATTACTTTTGTATAACATCAGATACCACACAGGATGCAGTAAAAGCAGGCAAATGGGAGGCAGCAGAAAACATTTGTTGCGACAGAAAAAGGTTGATGCCCGCCCCACAAGCCCAAACCGCTCCTACAGATAAGGAAAAAATAAAGGGTTTAATAAGGAAAGAGCAGCTGGCCTGTGCATGCTCACAGGTGGGCTCCACTCCCTGTGCTGCTCTGCCCCTTCCCATGCTGCACTCCACTAGTCTTAACAACAACAAAAAGAGAACAAAAGATATGAATAGGTCATTCACAGAAAAATCACAAACGATTAATAAGATAAAGAAGACCCTCAAATTCAAGGCCTTCGGGAAATGCAAATTAAAAAGAGGAACACGGACACTGGCCCTGTGGGCGGCTCACGCTCTGATCCTGGCACTCTGGGAGGCCGAGGCGGGAGGATCGCTTGAGCTCAGGAGTTCCAAAAAGAGAAACACACTTTCAGCTCTCAGATGATCAAACCTTAAAAACAGTAATGGTGCTGTCATAGGAGGGGGAGAGAGTCCACTCTCACACCGGTTGGTGTGGCGTTTTGAGAGGACGATCTGATGGTGTCCACTGACATTTAATGTGAACATACCCATCGTCTTGGCAATTCTACTTCAAGAAACGTATGCACAGAAACACTTGCACCAGGGCATGAGGTATGGGAAAACCAGTGGCGCCACGTGCCGACCCGTAGGGCCTGGTTAACTGAACCGTACCTATCCTGCCGGACGCTATGCAACTCTGAAAAGAAGGAAGTAGATCTGTATGTACCAACATAGAAAACTGTCCATGATATAGTGTGATTTAAAAAGCCAACCTGTGCCCATAGACAAAATAGAATGCGGAATAAAAATTAAGAAAAAAAATTTTTTTTAAAAGTCAACCTGTGGCTGGGCTCAGTGGCTCACGCCTGTAATCCTAGC